TTCCTTTCTGCCAGAGTTACATTCACAAATTATAATTAGGAGGTGTAATTTGGCAGACTTATCAGTGAAAATCTCTTCCACACAGAGAAAGACCAGGATCACAATATCCACCTAGTAAACAACTGGAGCCCTCTTGCATTATTTATAGGTTTGGTCTTATTTCTAAGCACAATTAGGTCTCCTGGCAACTAGCTCTTGCTCACATTAAGACTTTTCTTTTTTATTTGCACATGATTCATTCTCACGATTGTCATTTTTTCGTAACACCATAGGAGAAGAATCACTCCTCTCATCACTCAGTCAGCTGAACATATTCTGTCTCTAGTGCTACCAGGAAGCTGTTGCTGTGGGATAAACCGTGTCAATATGGCTCAATTTAATAAATAAGGTCTCAGAGCTCCTTGAACTCTTTGTTACGTATAATCCAACAGCTTTCACTGCACTGGGGCATTGATCTTACTCTGTTTCCTGTAATGAACTTCTGTGTGCACATTTTAGACCAAGTAATTTATTTCACTCTGGTTCTTCTAACGAAATGACAGCATGGTCTTAACGTGCTGAAGGGTAATCCGCAGACCAATAGGACTCCTCCTCTTTGTGCATCCTGAATAATAAGGGCTTCTCATGCCTCTTCAAGAAAATGAAGATGAGCAACTCCATTCTGAATTCTATTAGATTTACTTCAGACCTGCATCGGTAGCCTTCCATTTACATGCTCATGTATGCATGATACAGAGTGCCATGTCCTTTTAGCTCAAACCAGTGTTATCTATTCCCTTTCATTCCAGGAGCCTTCATGATTCTCCTCTTTAAAACATAGCTCAAAATTCAACTTGCATGAAAACATTCTGGAACTGACTCTACTTAGTCTACTTATTAATCTTTGTTATTTAAATTTGAGAAGTTTCAAAGATACACAAAAGTAGAGACACTCATGTCGTGAGTACTAATAGTGCAGTCCTCACTGACACAGCTCCAGCAGATTTTAACGTGTTGTCACGCTTGGTTATCTGTCACTCCTGGCACCTTTAAAGAGATCTGCTGGAGTATTCTGAAGCAGCTCCCAGATAAGACTTAAATCATCCATAAGTACTTAATTTTTTAAAGCATAACAAGAGGACTATTGTAACACTAAACAAAATTAACAGTAATTCATACCATGTTTAACATTCTAATATTCGTACTATGTCTAATATTCATACCATGGTTAATTTTCCCCATTGTCTCAAAAATGTCTGTTTATAATCAATTTATTCAAATCAGGATTCATAAACATCTCCACATTGCATTTGATTAGAATATTTCTTCAGTCACCTGTAATGCAACAATTCTAGCTCCCTTTTTCAGAGTATTTATTTGTTGAAGAAACTGGCTCTTTTACTTATCGTCTCAGCATTTTCTCAGTATTGATGGGCTGAGCTTGCCTGGCATAATTTGTAAGTAACCCACAGGGCAGTCACATGAAGGTCTCCTAGACTTTCAGCCTCCTGGAAGCAGCCTGTCCATGACACTTAAATAAAAATTGCTGTGCCTCATATAAATAAAATAAAATTGTAAATAAAGCAAATGTATATAATTAGCATAGAGTTAAATATGAAATTTTACTTTAAAATGATTATTTTGATATATGCTGACCTCACTAAGAAGCTTTCATGGTAATTTATCCTTAGGGCAGCATGGATTTTGGTTCATCTTGCTAACAAGGCCTCAGCCCAGAGGAGAAATTGCATGACCATTGTACACGAGGTATACACTTTGCATCTGTAAATGCAGAAACAGTTGTCTGGGTATACATCACTTTCTAGTGTGCTAGGAAACCATGCTTAAGTTGATGCATGTTTTCCACAGTTAAAACCACCCTGTTTTCAGTGTCTTAAAAATGATTCTTAAGATTTATAAAGTTGAAAGACCAGGTGGTTTCCTTTCCAAACATTTATATTCTCCTCACCCTAATAGCAGGAAGTTCATTTCAGATTACATGCCTGTGTTTGAATTGTTGTGTTTCCTCCAAGTCAGAATAGAAACAAGTTGAGATGTATGATAAATTTCAGTGTATTGTACAAATGGTACTGTTGCTACTTGTTTGGATAACATTGCATGAGTAATTCATTCAAAGAACACAGTCTAAAATCTCAGATAAGGGGAGTAGAGTGTTGAGTGGGTTTCTGAGAACAGAGATGAGAATTTTACACATTTTTTTCTTCTCAGCTACTTGAGATACTCTGTGTGTTTTTATGTACTGCACATATATAGGCTTTAGTAAATAGTATAGATCTGCACAAAAGAAACTGATGTGTTTCTGGAATTGTGTTGGGAGTGGTTTTACTGTATTTTGTTTTGGTTTCTTGGTGTCCCTTAATAGGATGATGGTTGGAACAATTCTAAAATAAAATTTATCAGAGAGAACCATAGTGGAGAACCTGAGGCAGTTTCATTTAGTTTAAAAGATTTATAGTCAGGTCTCTATTTCAGAGAGCCAAACTGGATGTGCAGATAGAAGTAGTCTTATTTCAAAGAACCCAAATTTCATTTTGTAGTTTTCTTTCAGTTATAAACTGTGTGACCCTCTTCACAGCTTAGAGTTCTGATACAGTCAAATTTCTTATTTCCAAATTAATCATTCTTGAGATTCGTCCATATCCCCTCTTTAATGAAAAGCCTAATATTTTCCTTTTTATCAATCCTTCATCTTGAGCATCCTTGGGGCAACTTTGCTTGCAAACCATCAACGCTTAATGCGTTTAAAATGTTTATGGCAGGTGTAGAGAGAATTGCAAAATCACTTCAGCTTATTAATATGCTGCATTTTGTGGATTCCTCCTACATCAGTCATCAGAGAATGTTCTTCCAAACTATATGGATGCTGTTTTTGATTCACCCCTTGTACAAGTCCCCTAGAGCTCCAAGTTTAAGCTCCCCTGAGTTCAATCCCATATGCATAGTGTTTTTCCCTCAAAACCTGGCACAGTGCCAGGGTGATTGAGTACCAGAACTTTCAGTTTTAGTCACAAGTCTCAGGCACACCTCTTCTGGTGATTTGAATACTCAGGCTGGCGGGCCTTAAGCTTGAATGTGCATAAGGAATGTATCAGCATCTTTTTTTAAAATTTCATATTCTTTGACCTCACACACAGAGATCTTGTTCGGGAGTTCTGGAATGAATCCAAGAATCTTCAACACTAATAGCATTCCAGGTGTTTCTGATGCCAGTAGAACTATATTACCTACTAGAACAGTGGTCTAAATCCACTGCTGCAAGTTTGAATCATCAGAGAGCTTTGAAAAGATGTTAATGCCGGGGACCCTGTCCTCATTCAATTAAATCAGAATGTTTGAGTTTAGCAAGGTCATGGATATTTTCCAAAAGCTACATAGGTAATTACCATCTGCAGCTTGATTTGAGAGCCACGGCCTTACACCAATATAACCACCGAGTACACAGCAACTCTTCTCCCAAGTGGTGAGAGTCTCTTATCACATAACCTTCATACCACAACTATCCATTCAACCAGATTTTCATATCTTTATAAAACTCAGGGACCTCTGTTCTTCTCATACAAACTGGCCCTTCCAGTGTTATGCATATTAAATGGAGAGGTAGCTGTAGCTGAGAAACAGGTGAGTAGTCACCTACTTTTGCACAGTTATGTAACTTTTCCTGCAGTAATTCCAACAAGTTGCATTCACCTACACAGAGAAAGTTTTTCTTTCCCAAAAGTGCCATATCTTTTTACACACGCCATCACACAGCCCTCCTCTACTGGGTGGTAAGTTTTAGTATACAGATCTAGAGAGTATTGTCTCACCTGGGGCCCTCTGTGTCCCAACTGTAATTTAGAATCAAAATGTCAGGCTCCTTCACCTTAGTGTCAAGATGATAGAATCCTGAACAGGGCAGAGATCAGCTGCCGTTTCAGCCTAGCCCATCAACCTGAAAGGGCATGTAAATCAGTCTGACTGGGCCATTTAAGCTACTTCAATGAAAACTTAACTTTAGGACCAAGGTCTAAATGATTCATCTGCTTCTTCGATAAAAAATGAATTATTTTTAAAACCAACGGGGAAAATGGCTGAGGGAGAAAGGGGACTTTAACATCCCTTGCTCTTTTTCATTAAGACCTGTTACCTTAAAGCAATTTTACATCTATGTCCAATAAGTAATAAAACTATGACTTGGCTTAAAATATTTCAGTAGAACAATATCTTAGGAGAAGTAATATCTATGAATCAAAAATTAGTTGACCATTTTTTAAGAGTCCATATGTAATTGTTGGAAATGTCGATTATGATATGAGAGATTAAGGCTGCTAAAAGTTTTTTATTTTAAATTCATGCTTGTCATTTGTGCATGTGAAGAATGGGTAGACAGAGGAAAGTGGGGGACTTTGATCCCGCCCCCCCGCCATTAACCACTCCAAAGTCATCACAACAGACTTTCAATGTGATTTTTTTAAAAGCATGCCTTCTATACAAATACTGCTTCGAAAGAAGTTTCATAGGCATTCTTTCCCCACCCAAAGCTTCCAACCAATTTACTGTCACTGAGATCCTTCTATAAAGAAATCCTAAGGTGGACAGTGATATAAAAACAGCTATTAGAGGTATGTGGTGTCTCCCCGTACCTCTCTGAACAGCCCGTGCTCAACACAAACTATTATCAGAACCCATGTATTATTTATTTGTCTCTTAAATAATTAATTTCTAAATATACTCCACATTTGACTTGAAATCCTTAATAGCATCTAATAAAAACTGTATGTGTGTGTGTACTTTTTTATGTCACAAAACCACTGAGGGTTATCTATTATTTTAAAAATCCTATAGGATCAATTTAATGACTGCTGTGATGATTAGAAACACTCCTACTGGATTTCTGCTGCAAATAAAGATTTAAAAGAGGATTCCTCTGACTGCGTAACAAATGTTGGGTTAATTCCTAAATGATAGAGTAATTACAGATGTTCAAATTTGCTATAAACAGCTTTTTCCTTTTCTTTTAGCCATTACTTGTCGAAAGCAAGATGGAGGCCAGGCTGGCGTCCATGAGTGCCTCCGGTATGCAGGCCCCGTGCCAGCCCTCACCCAAGCCTGCCAGATCCCCTGCCAGGACGACTGTCAGTTTACCAGCTGGTCCAAGTTTTCTTCCTGCAATGGGGACTGTGGTGCAGTTAGGACCAGAAAGCGCACTATTGTTGGTAAGAATAATTGGGATACCAAAGCCATCCTTTTCTGTCAAGGCAGAAAAACACAATAAAATGTCAGACCAAGATAGTTCTGACACTGTATTTGGAAAATTCAAGGATATGACTTACTGTTGCTACTACACCTAATACAGCAGTGGGCTCAGAGCTGTATTCTAATGTAAGTTGACAGTGACAGATGCATTATGTACTTTTAGTAGAAGGAAAAAGTAGCATTGAAAATTGAACCCTGTCTCCCTGTTCAATACATGAGAGGTTAATTTTTGGTTTAAACACGTACCTTTGGTTGATTGCCTATAGACTGTGAGGTGCTTGGAGAAGAGGTTTTTAGGAACATGAGGAAAGGTTACCACTTCACTTTCTTAACCCATTGCCACTGTCACAGCCTCAGATTATCCTTCATGTCCTAGAATGGAAATATGACATTAATTCTGTATCTGAAAACTACATTTTAAAAGGCGGTCACAGTGACAAAAAGAAGTAACATAATGAGTGGGAACAGAAGCCACCGTACTAAACTAAACCCTGGTACATTCAAAGATAGTGTCGGGGGCCAAAGAAGCCTAAAAATAATGGTGCTAGTAGAGTGCTCAGAATTTAAAGTTAGAAAATGAAACACCTGTCATAATGAAGCCTGTTGAAAACTATATAAGGCAGCTTATGAAAGTTAGAGATAAACATATATAACATGTAATTAGTTATATGCAATATAATTAAAAGTATATAATTTATGATATAATGTAATAATGTAAGTATGTGATCCAATTAAAATAATGATATATTAATGACATTATTTTTCAGGCACATATTACTGTTATACTCAAGTTTTTAATTTAGAAGGGAATTTGTTTAGATTTATATACTAACCATTCCTAATATTTTTATTGTGATATTAAATATCTGCATTTTGAATATTGTTACTTCCTACATTAATCACCAAGTATGTCAAAATGATTACTCTTCAGAAATACTGAAAGTTGCAAAACCACAGTCAGAAAAGTAAATGGAAAAATCTCATTCCTGAATTGTCATCCTGTATAACTATACCATCTACTTGGAATTAACAAAAAAGGTAGTTAACTTTGCAGGCCAGTGAAGTGGCACTCTTTCACCATTTCATATTTTGCACATGTTATAAAGGAGAAATTTATGCAGTTACCTCAAACTCCCCAGTCAGTGAAAGCACATGATCATTTGAGAGGATTTTAATCATTCTGAAGAGTGTAAAATTCAGCACAACAGTTAATGCCTTATTCAAAATGGGCTATTTTTAAGTGAGAAAATAAGAAAAAAATTTACTGTGCAAAGCACTCAGCATTAACAAAAGCCTACATAGAAAGCACTACGGAGTGAGAAGATAGCGTTATTTATAGGCTGCTGTTGAGTGCAGTTAAAAATGGAGAAAAGTTTAGGAAAGGAGAAAACTTAGGGATGCTTGATATTAATAATTATATTCTCCAACTTAATTTTGTCCACAGGAAAAAGTAAAAAGAAGGAAAAATGTAAAAATTCTCATTTGTACCCACTGATTGAGACTCAGTACTGTCCCTGTGACAAGTATAATGCACAGCCTGTGGGGAACTGGTCAGACTGCATTTTACCAGAAGGAAAAGTGGAAGTGCTGCTGGGAATGAAAGCACAAGGAGACATTAAGGAGTGTGGTCAGGGATATCGTTACCAGGCAATGGCGTGCTACGATCAAAATGGCAGGCTCGTGGAGACCTCCAGGTGTAACAGCCATGGTAATCCAATTCCTCTTCACGGTTATATGTTTACTGTCTTTGTGGGGGAGGGTAAAATGCATGTGTATCAGAATGGAGGGAAGTGAAAGTTTACAGAAGTGTGTTCTATTTATTTATTTTTAATTGAAGTGCAGTTTATTTATAATGTGCCAATTTCTAGTATATAGCATAGTGATTCATTTATACGTATGTGTGTGTGTGTGTATATATATATATTTTCATATTCTTTTTTATTTTCAGCCACTATAAGGTACTGAATATAGCTCCCTATGCTATACACTAGGACCTTGTTGTTTATCTGTTTTATATATAGTTGTTAGTATCTGAAAATCCCAAACTCCCAATTTATCCCTCACCACCCCTTTTTGAAGCTCTAGATATAAGTATTTTTCAGGTTAATATATGTGCATTACTGATTTTAAGATTATTTCATGCATTTAGAACAATAACTGAAAACGCTTTAGTACACTTTGAAAAACTTCTCTAAGAGTAACTGAGTTTTCTATTCTCTATATTAAATAATACAAGTGCAATAAATTAGATACCAGAAAAAATGTAAATGCACTTCCCATTCTGAGATGATGATGTAGAAGATCATAATTAGTCATTAAAGTGTAAAATTGAAGGTCACTTTAAAAATATTTTTCCTGAAATGAAGAATGTGTTTGCTCACATTTTAACTTGTTATGCATAGTGAATCACCAAGATAATCATTTGTTTTTAACATAACCTGTGAGCTTTAAGAATGACTCTCATATATTCTCACTTTAACCCTGATCTGTTAATTAGATGAATGAGAGCTTCAGTAAGCCATTAACAGTCAATCTTATTTTTAGAAAAAAAAATTTTATTTATTTATTTTTTTAACATTTTTTATTGATTTGTAATCGTTTTACAATGTTGTGTCAAATTCCAGTGTTCAGCACAATTTTTCAGTCATTCATGGACATATACACACTCATTGTCACATTTTTAGAAAAAAAATTTTTTTAAATATCTTGTGACTTTCACAAAGATGTTTGATCTTTAAAAAAAAGAAGAAAGGACAGAAATAACTGAAACTGGCCAAAGACAGTAGACTTCCTGCCTTAGGACTGTCAGTTCAAAGCATGAAGAATGCGGTACTGTGTTCTAGAAGAAAAGCACATGTAGAAAAAATGGGGGATTCTGGCAGCACTGAACTTCATGGAGGTTGTGAAAGGATCTAAGATCTTTAAGTGAACTGTTCCAGTTTAGTTCTTTGTGTCTGTCCCACATCACTTCTTTCTCATCAAATCTGATCTCTGATGGATGTCCCATGAAATATTTTAGTATTTACTAACATTTTTACTCAAAGTCAAGCCTGAAGAAATTGACTCTATGTTGTCTGATTTCTTTGGATTTACTACGTACATTCTGTCAATTCTGACAGTGTTGGTAGAGTGCTGTGACTTCGGTCCTCTGCCCTAGGCATGCTGTAAGTTGCAGTTTCTGGGAGCACTGCCTTTTCTCAGCCAAATCAGCTTTCCAGATGGATAGTGGAAATGGGGTTTTAAAGTGGCTTTCACGAAAAAGTCTCTTTGTGCTTTCAGTTTAAACGTAAAACGGATCCTCACATTTACACAGTGCAAAGACACTAATCCCCTATCCTACTCAATAGTGGCCTTATGGCATTTCTCTTCAATCTGTATTGTCCATCTGTAGATCATATTATCAGTTATAATACTGATAAAACAGACTTTCAGCAGTATAAGTATATTATTTTACATGATTTCCCATGTGGTCACCATTTTTTTAATGTCTGAAACTCAAGATACAATGCTGATATGTCTGGAATTTCTCATAATGGAAGTCTCTACTGAAAAGTGATAGACGTATACTCCAAAACTTAGATCTTAAAGTATACGTTGGGAGCCATATAAATGTTCATCTATCCTGATACATGGTATTAAATATAGTTCCTGCACCAATGTTGATTATATAAATACATTTTTGGTATTTATCCTAAAAACATAATACAAATTATGTATGTTTACCTTTGATATGAAATCTTGGATGGTGTCACTGTTAGCAACAGATTATAAATTGCTCAAAAACCAAATTACACATTTTCTACTCACTGCTAGAATCCTCTAAGATCTTAACTGATTGATTCCCTAGAAATTTACTGAGTGCCTTACCACAAAGTACTTAAGTACTTCTCAAGTTAATCACTTCTAAATTTTCACAGAACAAGAGGTAGAATTTCTGGAGTTTTTTTTTATTATATCCATTTAACTTTGATACTTTAAAAACTCTTAGAGATAACCTAGCTTATGAAAGGTACATGTATACAAGGCTTTCATTTAAACGTAAGTGGTAGAATTTTATCATGCTGTACCTCAGCCCTACCCAGCCCACCCAAAGCCCCTAATTTTGCTCTTTTAGTGTTTCAAAAGCATGTATTATTCTATAACATACCATATAATTTACTTATTATTTATTTTATTTTTACTGAATTATAGTTGATTTACAGTGTTACTGTGTTAGTTTCAGGTATACAGCAAAGTGATTCAGTTATACATATACATAATCTTTTTCAGATTCTTTTCCATTATAGGTTATTACTAGATCTTGAATATAGCTCCCTGTCTATACAGTAGGTCCTTGTTGTGTATTTTATATATAGTAGTGTGTATATATTAATCCGAAACTCCTAATTTATTATGTTTATTATATATGTTTTATCTCCTATACGAAAATGTAGATTGATGAGGGTATCTTGGACTACTTTATTCACTCATGTATCCCAAGTACCGAAAACGGTAGGTGCTCAGTAAACATTTGTAGAATGAATGAATGAAAAGCTGGAGAGAATGTTTATAGCTGTATTTGATCCACAGTCAGGCTTGGACACCTTCTTGTTTTTAGACAGTGTCCCTCCCTCTGTGTCACATTCCTGGGAAATAATCAGACAGGTCACTGAGAACAACTAAGATGTTTGGAATAAGATCTATACGTGCCACAAACTTTCTGTACGATATTCATCACATATTTGTCCTTCTCTCTACCTACTAAATGGTAGGTAGAAGAAATGGTGGAAGAAATAGGAATCACACACCCATTCCACTGAATTAGTCCAGTAATATCAATACTGACCAGTCTCTTCATTCCCGTTCAAAGCTAATCGTTCAGAACTGCCTGATTTGGACAGCACTACATTTGGACAGCAGCTTAATCCCTTGGTTTATGTTAGTAATTGTGACACTTTGCTTTTTCCCAACCTGTGTTGACAGCTTTAATTGAGCGTGGGGGATGTTTATTTAATTCTCTTTGTGTCCACTCACCTTTCCTTGAGAAAATAGGAATAGCATTTCTATTTGATTGATCTGAAAGAGATACTTGAAGGTGAAGGTAATTATTTGAAGTGTCAAAAGGCCAGATGCTTACGTTTTGAGCTCTTTGAGTTACATAATTCCTTCCAGACACTTCTCCTCAATCTTTACTTTCAGCAAGTTTGTCTTTGCTATTCTTCATAGGGAGTTTAAGCCATAATGCACCATCAGTAGAGATTCTAAAATTGAGCTCAATTTTATTTGTGATGTTTTATCATCTGTTAATAGTGAGTAAGCAGAAAGGCCTGTCTGACACCACTGTCCTTCCTGAGCCCATGCTGTTTAATACACATAGCTCTCCTGTCGCGTAACAGTAATACACTGCTGTGGGTACCTGTCAAATATTTGCCAATGGAGAGACCATAGGGAAACTCAAGAATCAGCTATTCGGTTAACTTGCTTGTTACCAAATGTTTTCCTAAAGGGCCACATAGCAAACGTTAAAGTATCTGAAGGCCAAAAGATCTCTGTAACAACTACCCAACTCTGCAGTTATAGAATGAAAGCAGCCATAGGCAGTGTGTGAGTGAGTGGCACAGTTATGTTCCAATAAAACTTATTTATAAATACAAGCTGCCAGCCTGGGCTATCATTTGCCAACTGGGATTTAAACTCTTTTTACTCAGAATACAGTCTACAGACCAGCAGCACAGACATCACAAGAAGACCATTGGAAATGCAGAAATTTATCCCATGTTGCAGACCTGCTGAGTCAGACTCTCCATTTGACAAGATCCTCAGGGGGGTTCTGTTGTGCAGTTAAGAGTGTAAGATTCCTTCAGGGATCGTGCAGACACTCACTGAGTTTGGTAGGAATCCTGAGCTTGAACCTTAGTGGGAAAGGTCTATGGAGATCACTTCTTAGAGCATCACGATGTGATGCTGTCTTGGGCAAATAATCAACACCTCCCAGGTGATAGTTCACTTGCTTACCAGTTGTGGGGATGGGAACATTAGGAAGTTTTTGGAATTTGTAAGGATGGGTCTTTATAAAGTGTATGACTATTTAGGTATGATTTTGAGAACAGAATGAGTCGATAGGATCTTCTGTGGAAAAGATACTGGTAAGTAAATGATTGCCCTGAGGAAAGTTTTTTTTTTTTGGTTCAGATAGAGAAATAAGAAAGCTCTAGGTGCTCTATTCATAAACAGAATTTGATACTATATTAAAGTGTTGTGTGCATTTGATTTTGTGCACTCTGTACTCGTGATCCAGTGCCTCTGCAGTTCTCAGGACTTTGTACTGCCATTTGACCATCATGCTGTCATTCAGATTGCTGTATCACTTTTTTTTAGGTCACATTATACCCTTTTAATTATTTCAGGTTGTCTTTTAACTGTGTTGAATTGTTCAACATAGCTTGTCTAATGCCTTATTTGTGTAAGATTAATTTCCCTTTAACATTAATTTTTAAATATAATGATTTGTATGGATCCTTCCATAGTTTCTCTCTTTGCCTACTGTGTTTATGAATGATATTACAGAAAACCTTCTGGACATTACTGAATAGCTTTAGCACCAGGTTTTGGAAGCATCTGTGGGATTCAAAGTATGCCCATTAAATTTTGATATTTTGGAAAACCTTTACTGGTACCCAAAGTTGTTCTTACAGGTTGCTTCATAGGTGGTTTGCACTATAGTGCTAA